CATGAATTTGTCTTAACTTTTAAATAACTTTTTAAGAAGTATACTCTAAAGAGTATATAGAGTATATATATATATATATATATAATCTATAGATTTATCATAAAATAATAATCATTTTAGACCATTAAAGAGTTACATAATTCCAAAATAAAAAAAATTTCATGTACCTACTTAATTTAAATGTAAAATTACGATTATATCTATACATTTTATAGAAAAAAATAGTCGATTTTTGTTAATCAGTATAATACGTATACTGCAATAAAAAATAATCTTTTTACATATTTTAAGGGCCGCTAGCATCTAAACAAAGCAATTTTTATTTAGGTAAGTTGGGTAAGGTCGAATTATTTTAAATCAAGAAATATGTGGACTTGCATTGTACAGGTTTTATCGGGACAACTTGTATAAATGCTAGAATGTTTTATTTATATTATTTGTTATTCATTTATTTTATCAAAAATAAGTGCTTTTTTCCTTGTTTTTTTATTTTTGACATAAGAATTTTTTGTTTATAGGCCCCCAAAGAGCTTTAGCCCAGCCCCCCCAAAGTCAACGGTCCGCCCCTGAGTGCAACCTACAATAAGCAAACTTTAAAATCTGTTAGTTATGGAATATCATTTATTTTATAGTTGGCAATTTTGTATAATTAATAAAACACCTTAAATATTAAATATTATGACACGGTTGGCCTAGAAATGTGCATATTTAATAGCAGAGCTAGATTTTCGTTTGTCAATAATCATTTTATGAAATTAATTACTTAGGTTGTTAAAATTAATTTAAAAACCATGTTACTTACATAATATCAAAAATGTAGGCGCCAATTTAATTTTAATAAAGTGTTATATGGAGAAGAATAATTGTGGTTCCAAATGTTACGTACTATCCTTGCAGAAATTTCAAAACTTACTTTGAACTGAGTATATGCATAGTTTTGCCAAGGTACTTAAAATTTAAATATTATAATTTAATAAAAAAATAGTAATAAGGAATAGTATATGTACATGTATAGTATATGTATACATATACTCAAATGTTGATTCTTAACATTTTGTTTTCCCTTACTTATGTAGTATTTGAACTTTTAAATCTGAGAACTAATACTATCATATGCATTTATACGTAATTAAAGTGCTAAAATATTATATTTCAATGCCAACTTAATTTTTATATCTTTCTGGCCCATCGTAATGTCTTTTCAAGGTCATCATTTTTAAACTTTTTTTACCAACAAACGTGTATGAGTAGAATTTTTATGGTGGAGGGTCCATGAAAACACATTTAACGAAATGATAACATATTTTTTTTTACACGATTAGGGATATTGACCAAAGAAGAATCAGATGCAAATTAAAACCTGACATTTTTTGATAGGTTATCACCAGGACCGGGACTTTTCTGCTCAACACTTACCAGCGCACCTAAACCCTAGATTTTTTATTTACTCATGATAAAATGTTGTATACGTGTTATATTATGTTATCTACTTCTTCTACTTGTTATAAATTTGTACAATCACCATAATTGATGATAATTCTAGCAGTTAAAATTTTTACAACAGTCATTATTCATCATAATAATTTACGCAGAAAAGTCCTGATCATCACATATTCTAAGGATTAATCTACGGGTTGCTTTTTGAAATATTTTTTGTAAATAACAAAAGTCCAAATTAACTTTTGGCAAGAGGAGTCTTTGAGGACCCATTGGACTAATGCTCAATTGCCCACCTGCCACTGATTCCACTATTAGATATTTTTAAAACGCCCATTATCGTTATGTTTCCATGGCACTAAGTGACCTTTTAAATACGAGGTGTATTCAGAAAATATCGGGAATTTTCGTTTTTTGAAAAAAATATTTATTTATTCGTCTACATTAATGTTGTCGCCTTCAAAATAGTCCCTATTGGATATTATGCACATGTGCCAGCTCTTCTTCCAATACTCGAAACACTTCTAAAACTCGATCTTTGGGATAGCCTTTAGTTCTTTCAGCGATGCGCTTTTAATGTCATCTATGCTTGCAATTTTTGGGAATAGGAAAAAGTCAGACAGAGGCATGTCTGGCGAATTTGGAGGCTGGGGCATTGTTTTTGGCCAAAAATTTTGTTCAAATTTTAACAATTTTGGAACAAATTTTGCTGCCACGCGTTTCATTCCCAAAACATTCGAAAAAATTTCATGGGATGAGCCAATCGATATACCAACATCATCAGCGACTTCTCTGATGGTTTATTACCATTTCTTCCACTTTTTTCATGTATTTATCGGTTGTTAATTTGCTTGGGCGTTCGGGCCTTTGTCATCTTCAACGTCTTCACGGCCATCTTGGAAACTCTTATACCACTTGTAAACTCTTGTTTTACTTATAGTAGACTTACTATAGGCCTTTGTTAACATTTCACAGAATTTATTTCGCCGACCTCATAAAAACACGTCTAACCTGCCACAGACAAAGTAAACAATGAAAACAGCTAAAGTTTTTATCATACTTCGGGGGCATGTATGTAACATAATAAAGAAATTTTTTGACAACCGGACCCTCCGAACCCGCGAAATTTAACAATTCCCGTTATTTTCTGAACACACCTCGTACACATTGGCTAGTTGTGGCTTTATGGCGCTTTAGTCACGGACTGAAGTTAGCAACAGGTAAGTACGTTGACAGTTGTCAAATGTCATACAATCGTTAAAATTACTTTCTTGTAAAATAATACTAAATGTGAAAATTATTTTATAATATCAATACAATAATTCAAAAGTATTAAATATTTTTTGACGCCTCTGACCTTTTGATTTCGCCGTGGTAGTGCAGTTAACTTGATTACAATTTTGCGTACAGTGCCCATAAAACATTATCTTCTCTTTTACTGTGAAAAACTGCTTCTATGTCGGTTGTTTATTTTCAAGGGATAAATTTTGATTTAAACAGAAAAATTTAAAATTTTAAGGCCTGTAGATTTCCAAGTTAGAAATTCTAACGGGAATTCCACTAAATACCACTGTCACTTGCTGTAGCTTTAACATTTTCCATTTTTAATACTTGGTGATAATATTTTGCAATTATAGTAATAAAAAAGAATCAATAATTGTTAATAACGTGCAATGTTAATTGTGAAAATTACGTCAAAAATATTTATTGGGATTTAATTTACCCAAATCATTTTTTAGATAATATTAAGTATTTGTCGTATGCAACTCGTTTAAACTTTTCTAGGCACTCATTAAATTAAATTTGTGACTAAAATAGCGTTTATCAAACTTGATACATAATATAATAATATTATACTATTATTACCTTAGAACAAAAAACAACAGGAAGGACTCTTGTCATTCTTTAGCCGTACTAAAATAAAATTACGACGGAAGTCGGCCATTTGCAAGCTCCAAATTATGACACATTTGTGATGCTATATTTGTCAAAATTGAATGTTTTATGTGTTTGTCGGTGTTTTATGTTGTTTTTCTGGTTAAATTAACTTTAAATAAGCGTTTCATTGTTTCTAGACAATATTGTATTTGATATATTCTCGTTTAAGTGTAAATATTTAAGTTTAAGATATAAATATTAGTGTTTAAGGTGTAAAAACAAATTATGGTTAGTTGTGCAGCTTGTGGTTGCTCCTTGAGCACAAAAATTAAAAATATTCATTTACATTTCATAGGTGAGTATTTTGGTTAACGTTTAATTTATTTACTTATTGTATATTTTAAAATAATTAGTTGTAAATATTAAACATAAATCAATGTCAAATAACGTAACCTTAGAACATAACCATAACCTAAGAACGTCACCATCATAGAAAAAACCATAGGCGTATCATATTTTCTGATACTAACCTAATTATTATAAAAATTAAACTTTACTACGCCACTGTCAAACGGAAACAACTATCCGCCATATTGAAGCTCCACTTTGGACCCAAGGTCATTTATTAAATGCTCCTTCCTGTTGTTTTTTGTTCTAAGATTATTACTCATTAGTTATGCAACCATTGTTAAATTTGTTTAATAAAATATAAAAGATTAACTTAGGCAATATCAATATTCGTTTAAGGATTGGTGGTTGCATAGCATATGATGTTTACAATAAATTTTATTTAACCATATAAGTACAATTGGATACTTTCTGTTATTAAAATTATTATTTGTTTTATATGAAAATTTAAACAAATTAACCCCGGCGCATTCGCCATTTTTTAAACACAATGAAATATTTTTTAAATTGGGTTTGGGATCAAACAGCTATAAAACTGCATTTTTATATACATAAATATTATTATATTAGTTAAAACATATTTTGTATGCCTTAAATGCTTATTATCCACAGTAGGGTGGGCCGAAATAACCTTTTTTATTAGTACCCAGGACTCATGGGCGGCACATACAACTCCTCGTGGTGAGATCTGGGTGCCATTAAACTAGAAAAAAATACCAATTTTTTTCACAATTTTAAAAAGGTTGCGAAGGCTGAGGACATAAAAATACAGACATGGAATTTTTGTTATCTATTTAAATATATTTTTAACTTAAATCTAAACAGGGTAATTCTTATAACTGCATCCATAATCAAATGTTTTAAAAAATTCTTTTCTTGGATTTTTTTTACGTATTATGAGTTACCAATGACATATTTTAAAGGGCCTACCTTATTGGATTTCGAAAAAAAGTTTATTTCGGCCCACCTTATAAAAAACTATTTACTTTTGAAAAAAAAAATAAAAATATAACTAAGAAATATGTTTTTAGTTCTAATTTTAACAATACATTAACGTAGTGATTTTTTATAAATTTGTGTTAGTGTCACTTACAAAAACCTTAAAAGGCAGATTTTTTAACGTCATCTATAAAAAATATGTACTTATAATTGATCAATTACATTAATATTTGCTATTAATACTTGATTACTAGTGTTTAAATACTTATTTTTTAATTAGCCTTATATAACTAGGTTGATTTTTAGTTTTTATAGTTCGTTTATTACTGTCTGTGCATAAGTTTGCTTTGTTTACCTATATCAGGAAAAAATGGCCACCGAAATATGGGCATGGAAAAAAATTCAACAATCAGGTAAATGTTTTATTGATATGTGGACAAAACCATTATTTTAATTATATTAATTGATTTATAAGCATGTGGTCAGTTGATTCTTGATTATTAAAATGCGTTTTCTGTAAAAAATTGTCCTAATTAAATTGTAAAAAATACAAATCTTAAATAACTGAAAGAATATAATAATACATTTTAGGCCTAACAAAGGTAACTTTACCTTATAATAGTCTTTTTGTGCTAAGCATTAAAAGTAGAAAAATAATAAATTTTAAGTTCCTAGGGTATAGACCAATTGTTATTTTAAATTTGTTTATTTATTAATTACACTTTATCAAAGTCCAGCAACAGTTTACAACTAAAACCATAAAAAACATTTTATTTTATTTTTCAAGTTCCTCTTGAACATTTTTAAATTACGCTGTTGAAAAATGCTATTTCTACCAAGTTTTAAAATTCTAGTAGTTCCTCTACATAAAAAGCTAAATTAATAAATATACAGGGTGCATCTATAAAAAGTTTGATGATGTCAAAATAGGTCAATTTAAGTTAGTTATATCCGAAATTGCATCGTTTAGTCAGTAGAGAACGTTAAAGATTTCTAAATTGTTTAAATATAGTTTAAATTTATTGAAAACATGCTAATGGGGTAGTTAAATTTTTTTTGACCTATACTTTTTATGGTTTTATTCAAGGCGTTTTGTAATATTAAACATTTCTGTGAAATCAGAATTTCAATTGAGTTTACCGTTTTCGAGATATTTACAAAAAATATAAATTTTTATGACGTCACAAACCTCGCCATGTGACCAACATTCTAAGATTTCTATTGGTTGAAAAATACCCTGTTGTCAAGTTGTCTTGTTAATGATTTCATTCGGTTATGTCAAAAAATACCCGAAGAGGTTATGTACAAATACTGTCACTGTCAGTTGAGTGAAAGATGGTCACCAAATTCATTAAGTACCTATCTTCCTTATTACAAGGTATCATATTACTGTTTGATATTTTAGAGTCCAAGATATATCTAAAAGAATATAAAGAACTAGGCATTATACTAATGAAATGCATTTACGACAAAATATGATTATAATTATAGGTACTTACTTTATTTGTTTAAAAGCTCCAATGTTCAACGTAACCAACCATTCCACAAGATTCCTCTGCTTTGGAGTCCGTTATTAATAAATCACTTATCTAATATCAATTACAAATAACATAATAATAATATTGATTTTTAATAATCTAAATTAAAAAAAAAACATAAACCGAAAAAAGAAACGTCAAAAAATCAATTCTTCTTCTTCTCAACTAAAATTATAGATCAAGTGGTTTTAAAACTAAAATATTATAACGTGGCGCCATCTATCGTAAGAATCTTAAACTAAACACACTGGCAACCATAGAAAAAGCTGGCAACGTTGTCAATAGCCTAGTGACGTAATTAGGAGATTTTTTTTTGTAAATATCTCGAAAACGGTAAACTCAATTGAAATTCCGATTTCACAGAAATGTTTAAAATTACAAAACGCCTTGAATAAAACCATAAAAAGTATAGGTCAGAAAAAATTTAACTACCCCATTGATTTTAGTGATTTTTTATGCGTAGCAAACCAGGCCAAATTGAACGAGAAATACTGTGGGGATAACAATATTTTGCTCCTTAACAAAAAAACCCAAAATAGATAGTTATAATCACGACAGTTAATGCGAAAATCTTAGAAATAGTAATACTTGAACCCATAACAAAAAAACAGAGATAGTACAAGAGACCTAAACGTCGAGGCGCTCTAGGATTTAGACGATGCCCAACCCTGTTGTTAAATAATAATAATACATATTAAAAACAGATGTTAAAAATTCAAATAGTCACATGACTATAATATATGGCTATATACAGGGTGTACAATAATATGTTGGCAATCTTCCGGATTCAGATAGAACACATACAAATAATATAACAAGTTCATATAATTGTTTTTTCCTACAGTTCCATCTACGGGAATAGGGCCGTATAACGGACACCCCTGGAAATCGATTGTTTTTAAATAACTTATAAGGTACTAGCTTGGAATTTAAAAGTTTTTTAATATGTTCGTTTCTAGGAAAGTTTCCCTTCAACGTTAGGGCCGGAATCATCGGGCAGCATTTAATTGGTCCTTTTGTATTGCCAGGAAGGTAAACTGGAGACCTTCTTTCTAAAAATGAATTAGGCAAATATGACTAATTTGTATAACGGACATTTGGCAGTTAACTCCTATGTAAAATTTTTGAGATATAGTCAATTTTCCATATAATAAGGAATTGACTATATGGTCCAAATCTTTACTTTCATAATTTTTGGATTCAGGAGACAATTTTATAAAACAATTGGCTGTAAAATGTCCGGAATACTAATTGCTGTGGACTACAGTTTAGTGACTGCTTTTTCACTTAAAAAACTAGTAACATTTTAGAGAGTTTATTTGGAATTTTTTCAATATAATTTGCCAGAACATTTAGTCGAAATAAGGATTAATGTGGACCTTAATCTTCAATTCTTAGAGCTAGGGATGGCATAAGAGTATATTAAACAGACATAAAAAAATATTTAATAAAAACGCTAGGTATCGTACAAAACCACTTTTTTCGTAAACATTTAATTTTATCAATGTCGATCAAGAGAACTTTTTGATAGTTTAAGGTTTAAGCTGACCAAAAATATTATTATTGTGCCTTTATCGTACCCTGTACGTTATAAAATAGCATACTCTGTTAGAGCTAGTCGTTCCTTCCTTTTAAATAAGCCGAATATTATTAAAAGTGCCCATTTTAGAAAACTTTCCAAAAAACCAACATATTAAAAAATATTAAATTCCACCTATTACTTCAAAAGTTATTTAAAAACAAAATATTTCCAGGGGCGTCCGTTATGGGCCCTTATCTGCGTAGAGGGGACCGTAACAACAATGTTGGGCCTCACCTAAGTCCTACGGCACCTTTAGATCTCTGGTATTATCCCTGATTTTTTGTTATGTTACCAGTGGGTCCAATTCAAGTATCACTATTTTGCACAAAAAGTGTACATTATCCAGCTTAGTAAGGTGACCTTACCCATATTTTTAGGAACACCCTGTATATATGGCTATATTTTATTTAAATTTAGCGTGCTTAAATTAACAATTTTGATTGCTTTTTAAATGAATTTTACAAACCAATATTAACATATATATGTATATGCACACAAAGTAAAATTAAAACAAACTTGCAATAAGTGTTAAGATGAGTCAATAACTAGTCACATTGTTTTATATTATTTATTATTTACATAAACACTTATACAGGTATTTTTATTGAAATATTATTGTTCATGGAAAAAATGATTTGCCATAAAATATAAAAAAATTAAAATGGGCACAGTTCAATAATTTGAATTTCCAAACATTCCGTCAACCTTGATTAATAGTTTATTGTTTGCACACATAGTAGTGCGAATTATTTATATGCATGATTAAAAAATTAATAATGTGTAATAGTAAAACATCTGATAAAATATTAGTAATACACCATGTGAGTGATTTGATCCTTGTTGTAATTAGTTTGTTTTGTTTTAAATAAAGACTTTGACTTTTTTGTTATTTAAACAAAGCGACAAAACTTTTTATACTTAGATTTTTATTTTGCACTGAAGTTTATTCATGCGGTTACGTTCGAAAGAGTTGGTATGCACTTTTTGTGATAATTTTAACTGTGATAATAATTGTGATAGTATAACTTAAGTATTATTAAATATAAAATGGCAAAAATTATTTATATTCCTGTTAGTGAAGAAGGTAAGATTATTTTGTTATTTTTATACAAAAAATATAAATATAATAAAAAATACAATTAACAGATGAAGCAATTAAATCTGCTTATGGCAAACAAACAAACAAACATACGAACAAGTTTTACTCGAAAACAAATATTTACTTAATCATTTGAAATTTTTTATATTTTTAAGTTCAAAGTAATTTTCAAAAAATCTAGAGTGACTCTAACATAAAAATATCTTAGATTAAGTGGAAATAAAAATACTGTTTAAATCCCAGCTGGTAATTTTAATTTTAAGAAGTTCCTTATTTAATTATGTAGATTAATCTATCTACTTTATTGTGTTAAAATTGTCAAAATAGCACCCATTTTTACTTCTAGCAAGGGGCAATAAAGGACCCAAAACCTCATTAAAGAAATTATTAATATTAAGTAAACAAACTGTAATGTTTGCATTTAAATACTAAAATTTATTTTGTAGTTATTGTAATTAGTTTTAAATTTCATTAGTGGACATAAAAGTTAAAAAAAATCCTTTTTATTGCAGGATTAAAATGAAAACATTAAAACCATGAATTTAGTTTTAAAATAAAAAACGTGCTATACATAGTGTTAAAATCTTAAATATAAGTAATACAATTTTTGTTAACTTATTTATTAATTTATATTTATTTGACCTATTTATATCTATTTTATGTCCTTATTTATACTTTACCGTTTGTTATATTTTTGTTCACTAATAAATAAATATACATAGCTAAGCTATACAAAAAAGTGTCTTATGTTTTTAACATAGCCATTAATAAATATCCAAGGTCAAAGTTTGAAAAATTAAAAAAAAATACGATCAAATTCTTATACTCAACTCGCCGAATACTTAGGATTTTGAAATGAGTATACTATAGTACATTTTTTTATTGAAAATTAACTTATGTACAAAAGAGGTTTTCTTAGTTTTTTCGATAAATATAAGCGTTTCAAAAACAATCGTAACTAACGTTTTTTTAAAAGCTACTGTAAACAATATTTTTCTTACTATATTTTTCCATTTTTTTCAAAATTATTTTTAAAAATAGGTATTTTAAACTATACTGCCTTACTGGGAATCGAATCCGAGTCTCCTGAAAAAGAGATATTTTAAACATGTATTTGTTACATGAATAATTACATTACAACACTTATATCAACAAATTATTGAGGAAAAAAGCTTTAAACCTCCTCACGGCTCC